CTAACGCACGAAAAATTTAAAGATTATCAACCGGTTAGGAAAACATTCGAAACCGACTATATATAATGTCAGAGTATATCAGCTCACAAGAGAGATGCTAGTTTTCTTAAATCATCTACACGAAAGCAGGATTAATTGCGAACAATTACAGAAAAAAACATCAATTAATAAACAGTGAATGTAAATGAGGCAAATCAGAAGTTCCATGCGATCATAATAAAAATTTCTAAGAAATTTACTCCCATGATAGTGCGGCGTCAAAAAGAAACAGTGTCCTCCTTGGTTTACAAACCAAATGAAAAAATTGATTATTAAACTCCATCGTAGTATGTGCCAAAACAGGAGGAATATGGAGGAATAACCATACAAAGACATACCGAATTAAGAAGCAAAGTTGAGAAAGAAAATAAGGTATCAAAAAGGTGCTACTATGTGAATAAAAGTACGACATGGCGACTCCAGACAAATTTATCAATTTTTAAATCTACTTAAAGGAAATCACATTAACAGCAAATCTATGGGCAAAATAACAACAAAACTGGTCTTTTGTAAGAAGCGTCGGAAAAAAAATTGAGATGACTTTAACAATTTTTTCGCAAATGTAGCGGAAAGACTGAGTTTAAATACACCAAAAGTAAACTTAGAAATCAGAATTCTGGAACCTTTCATGCCAATACATTTAGAGCCATCCACTGAAACAGAAATCACTAACAAATTTTCAAAAATGAAAAATAATGGTATACAGGTCTAAAATCGTCACATAAAGAAGGTTCCGAAATTTTCACAAGAATAGCTATTGGCCTATAGCGCTGCTACCCTCAATACCTAACGTTTTTGAAAGAGTTATGTTTAATAGAATATGACTATCTTGAAAATTTTGAATAAATTTAAACTTAACAATTCGGCTATAGGATACAGCACGGCACACTTGATGCCACTGCCAAGTTAACTGAAAAAGGCGAAGCTCCTAACAGAATGTCAACTCTACAATTTTTCTCGATCTGAAAAAGCTATTCGATACAATAGATCCTATATCTTGAAGAAAAAGCTTCCATAACACGGAATTACCAATACCTGCTATAGTTGGATAAATAGCTATCTACCAAACCGCAAGCAAAGTGGTCAAACAAATGGTATTTGTTCTGATTATCATAAGGTCACAAGTCCAGCACCCAAAAGTTCAAAATTAGATCCATTGAATTTTCTCATTTATGTTAATGATCTACCAATTGTATGCAAAACCTTAAAATATTTTAATTCGCTGACGATACCCCGATCATGTGCCTTGACAGTTCTTTAGAAATTTTAAGTTATGATTTTTATGCAGTAGCACGATGACTCAGAAATAAACTATCCCTAAATCTAAAACATTCAATTAAAAATAACAAAGAAGCGCTTCTACCAATACCATCTCTTTTCAAAATAAAAACTTGTCCTTGGAAATGTCATGGAAATATTTGGGAGTGAACATAGATCACAATTTGAATTTAAATGTATAGATAGACTTTCACAACAAAATTGCGCAAAAATTAGGCGGTATGCGCTATCTGGTGTTCTTTATCAATATTATGAATCAAACAGTGTATCATAGATACAATATGATATTCTGTTTTACGGGTGTACAAATTTCAAGGCTTTCAATTCAACCATAATTTTACAAAGGAAAAATGTTAGGCTGATGTCTTTTCGCAAATTCCACGACAGTATTTCAGACGTTTTTGCCTAAAGAAAAATCTTAACACAATATGAAGTGTACATATATGAGATAATAAAACTTCTTATATGTTCTTTATCCGGCCATCACTCCAAAAATTATCTAAACGATTTACTTTGCTTCGATTAACACAGCAGAACTACTACAAGTTCAAATAAAAAATTTATGAAAACAATGCGAATCAAGTCATAAATGAAAAAACATTCATTGGTATATCGAGGATCTAAACGCTTTAATACATTTCACGAAATTGATTTGATTCCAATTGAATTTCAGTCGTTAAAGGTCTCGCAAGTAGTAATTACGATCATAGAATGAAACACCTTTTTATTCTCGGGAACTATGACTTGATCGAACGAATTTTTGAACAAACTCCATTTATTGAACCATTGTTTTCATCCGCAATTCCTTGTCCACATTTAAGCCTGATTATGTTTTTCTTTACTGGGAAGTAAGAATTAATTCAATTGACACTCCGAGAGGGTCGGCTGCCAGTGCATTTTTAGGTTCTACTAGACGACTCTTTTGGATATGTTGATTTTAAGGATTTGGATTAGTGACAACTTGAACTTCACAACATGAAATGGTAACATCATCAACTAACCAGCTATATTTGTGCTTTAACTGATGCGTGATTATAAAAAATACGAATTTTCTAACCCTACTGTTTTCTATGTTTCTATGTTTTCTAAAGTTGTTGCCTATGTTACAATTGTACATATTGCTTAGAAACGTTAAGGCACTACCCAGCGACCAAAATGTCCATTTAGGGTCCCCTCTGGTCAATGATTTTGTAAATGTGTGAAATTCTCATATGTATATTTTTGAATCACAGAAATAAATTTTTCTTTCTTTCTGATGATTTCAGTTCGTTACTTTATATCACGAAAAGCAAATGAGTGAGTATTAAAAGCCTTTTGACGTTTTTTTGGCCAGGAGTTCTAACAAAATCCCATAGTTCTAGTATTTCGGGTAATTTTAAGTTGAAAACGTGGAACTATTAGTTTGTTTTAACAGATAGGTTTGACGGGGCTGTCCGGTTCCGACAAACCAATAGCAAACAAGCCACACGCATCGCGTCTTCTTTGGCATATTTACAATTTTTTGCTGTTTTCGTTGTTCTTTGTATTATTTGGTTTTTTGTTTGATCTTTAATTATACGACAAATCCCCCTACCCCTCGCAACATCCGATTTTTGGTTGTTAACAACGTTAAATAGCAATACTCGGGCATCCGAAGGATGTTTTGGTTAGGTAAGCTGTCATAATATCAGCCTAAAACGATAATCCGAAAATCAAGTGTTCTTTTAAAGAAAAGTATGTTATTGTGTACAGTTATTTCAGAATTAACCTGCACAAAATTCAAAATCTACGGTGATCTGCCAAACTAACCCTCCGGAAAGTATGAACCTAGCAAACAACGACGTTAGTGGCACAAAAAACACATTTCGCGGGCTTTGAATGAGTTTTTTTAATTTCGATTTATGAGGTCCTCATTTACGGGAAACGCGACGACGTCCATTTTGAGCAGGTAATCGAATACAGAACAGAAAATCTTGTATCAAGCTGACGAAAACTAGGATTGTATCGACCGACTCTCCAGAAAGAAGAAATTGTGAAATTAAGGAAGCTAATCAATGGGATCCTGAAGATCGGAAGTTTTGAAAACAAAAACCGTTTTCAGGACTGACTAGTCTTTTTCTATTTTAACTGTTCCAATGCCCTGATTTTATTAGATTAAATTCCGGTAAAACAATTTCGTGTTTAATCAAAGCATGAGTATTTGACAGCAAGGAAGTGTCATTCCAGCTTCAATGGGTTTGTGACGTCAAAAAATTAATGTATTAACCAGCCCTGTTTAGATATAACCTCGTGTTCTGGTATATTGCTAATCTTGCATATAAACAAAACTGAGCAAGCTCCTTTCGGCTGATAGACTCAAACTCGTAACGTTGTCGAATCTAAAATAGGCATTAAAAAACTGGCAAGGTCGAGACAGTGAAAACACGTGAATTAGAATCTGACGGCAGCCAGTCGTCAATGGAAACTTTTATTGCTTTCCTAATGATATTTAATGTCCGTACGAATGTTGCGTACGTATAAAAAACAAGGTCCAATCTCATACATTGGTCTCCCAAGACTATTTCTTTATCACTAGACCAAATATGAAGAGCTTGGAACTTACAGAGGTTTCACAAATGATTCTGGTTACAAAAAAAAACACTTGTTCTGCAAAACAGTTGTCAATTACAAGACAGGTCATTTAAAATCATCGTGGTCCAGAAGAGCCGCCTTCCAGTGGTGGACCCAACGGCTGTATGAGCAGCCGCAAAAGGCACATATCACACCCTCTCCAATAGAAGAGCGCCAAAAGCCTGCTCGAACTGGGTTACGGAGCTTCCCAAATCGTTCGGGATTAACTACTACATTCTATATCCTTGCTTTTCAATGTTTGCCGACAAAATAACCGGACTAATGACAGCCCGACTATGACGAGTTTCCAACAGAAAACTGAAAAACCGACCATGTCCGGAATCGAAAGCAGAACTTACGTTATCCAAAAGAAATGCATAATTTGATTTGTCAACGCTTGCTAATCGCAAGGATCATTGTGTTTTCTTCGTGAATACCACTTTTGATTTCGAGAGGTGTTCTTGGTTACTAATACCAAAATAAATGAAAGCTCCAAATTAGATAGCATAAACATTGATATAGTGAGATTTCCAATTCCCTGATAACTGAGATAATTCGGCAAATTTTTGTCAACAATAAGACAAAAACCAAAACCAGTTGAAATGGCTGTGCTGTGATGTTATTCATAATTCTACTCACTTTAACGTTTATTAGTAGCACAATATTTTGCGTTGAAGACCTGCTTAGACCACCCTCCGTCATAAAGATGCGGGTGGTCAGAAAAATGTAAACAAACTGCACGTTTTTTTTTATTGGCCACTATCAAAACATCTTTTGAGCAGGGCGACTTCCGGGACCACTTTTTTTACAATTAAAAATTCTAGTAACCGGTTGCAACACCTTTGCTCATCGCAAGGGAAAAAATTAAAAAATTTCGTCATTGAAAACAACGGAAGTCAATAAGTCTAGAGGTTTAAATTTAAACGCTATATAGAGAATAACTCAGAGATAGCGCCTAAATACAAGGGTACTTAATTACAGTAATAAAATTCTAGTGCTTTTAATAATTTGCTACTGGTTCAAACCGGGCCCCTGCTCACAAAATATAAAAAAAGCTTTACATGAAACTTCGTTTGAAACCGGATCCTACTCACCCGCCCTCATTTTCGAAGCACCGTATGGAAGCCGCAAATATGTCAGTGGTGGCCTCGAAGCCTTTGTTGCCTCCTCTCAGATTGATTTCCTTGCACAGCAGCTCTGTATCCTCGTGCACTGTGGCCAATCCCCCTACCAGTGCATTTCCTATTGAACCTGAATCGTTTATACCCTGTTGAAGTGGAAGCCCAGAAGAAGAAGCTGGCTTGAAATTGAGCGCAGTTGCTCTGGAAATTGAAGGCACAGATGAAGAAGGGCCAGAAGTGATGACGGTGACGGTCGTTGGATCTTGTACCTCAGAAATATCTGATGCGGAACCCTCGTCAACTGTACTACCCTGTATGACATGAGAGCTTTGGCTAGCTTCACTTGAATTGTCAGCAGCTGCGGAACTAAGTCGCGTCACAGTAGATCCATTACTGCCTGCACCTTGTGCAGCATTGGCTGTGGTGGTATTTTTTGAGTCTAAAGTAGGTGTAACAGTGCTCTGCGTAGAGTAAGTAGAAATGGTCGGACTTCCTTCTTGGTTAAGACTTCCAGTTTGACATGTGTTTGCTGTGTTAAGGGGTGAGCTGGAACAACTCATGTGTGAGTTAGAGACGACTGCTTCTTGTTGAATAGCCTTATTGCAGCAGTCTATGTAAACATCCGATTTCAAGAACATTGGGTACGCCTTTTCCTTCAAAAAATTTTCAATTTCCTCCTGAGCATTGTCAAACACGTTGTTTTCAGCTTGGTTCTTTCTGATTGCATCTAAAATTTGTTTACGGTGATCGCTCGCTATTTCACTCAGAGCATTAGCTGAGTTCCTCTTTAGAAAAGTGCGTCCAATAACTGTAGCTAGTCTATACTTTTTATGTTTGTCTGATTGTGTTTTAAATCCGTTCACTGCATACCAAAACATTAAGTTATTCAAAGCCCCTTCAGCTCGAAGATAAGACTGAAACACTTTTTGACCCTCTGGGTCTTCTAGAAGAGAGTCAAAACCAACCGCCCATTTCACATAAGGTGGCGTGCCTGAGTTATTTGCACTATCGCTTCCCACTGATTCCCTCATAGGTGTATCCGATCCACTTTTCTGTCTGCAACTCTCGTCACCGTAAAACTGACTCGTAGTGACACCTGGTGATTCTTTAATATGCGGCTTCATTGTGACAGATGAATTAATTATGATACAACCCGGTTCCTGGTTGTGAGAAAAGTTAACATTACTTGACTTCTGATCAAGGAGGGCTAAGCTAGCACTCATTTAGCCACTGTTGATCTTTACATTTTTCAATTTGGGAGCGCTCATATTACCTGGAAAACACTTTGTCAGATACAATTTGGGGGTAATCAGGTCAAAAGTATCATTGTAACCGAGGTGTCAGGAGTCCCTTCATCACGTATTCCAGTCAAAATCCTTGGAATTTTCTAGATTTGGAAGGGCTAATGATAAAAAAAGATGACAAGTGTTGATGTACTTACAATTAGACTCTATCAGGGTTACGCTTCTTCAATAAGAACACGCAACTCGACACGAGAAAATATAAGGTATAAATATAATTGTTACAAAGTAAATTTCAAACGTTTTCGCAACTATGTGCATCGTCAGGATTTTTACAATAAACTAATCTAAATGACGATAAAACATCAATTTACAAATGTTATTTACAATAACTCACATAAAATTTGGTTCTAAACCATCATGATAAAAAATCAGCCAATCACAGTTGACCTCTGAATTACTATTAAGATTAAAATACTTTTAACCTCTAAAATTAATTAAACATTTTAAAATTAATTTGTCTGGATTTGAAAGTATTTTAATCTTATTAGTAATGTAGAGGTCTACTGTGATTGGCTAATTTTTTATCATGATGGTTTAGAACCAAATTGTATGTGATTTTGTAACATTCGCCCGGAAGATACATATCGACGGAAAACAAAACTGGCTAACGTCTAAACAGAGCTTTGCATGCTTTTCACCGTCTCTACCAAGCCAGTACTTTCGGTGGTCTTTCTAACATCGGGTCGACAAAAACGTTACTGTTCTCCGGCTTCGACCAGAACGCTCAAATTAACTTAATTACATGCAAATAATGAGCTCATGGCTGGGTCTCAGTATCCCCAGACCACGAGGTCACTCCTAAAATCAGGGCTATTACTATTTATTGAATTATTGTTTTTGTTCAGTAGATAAAAATCATCATCTCCATCGAAGATGGATCAACCCTTTCCCCCCAACTCCTAGCTCCTCATCCTTATCAAAATGTGCCAGTCGGTCATATTTGGAAGTTTGACCTTGAGAGAAGCAAAAAGCACTTAATTTTGGAGTGAAATTTAATTTTTCAAAATTTCGAATGAAACCTGTCATGCACGATTTTCTCGCGATAACTGAAAATCAGAAAAGAGAAGTCAGAACGATCGAGTGACAATCGCGGGAAAGTTGCTAGAAAAATCAGTGGGAAATTGCTATTCGCAATTTCAGTAGCAATAATAATCGAGAGTAGAGCTGTCCCATCTAAAACAGAGACGAGCGCATTCCCACGAACTGGATTGTTGTGACTGGAGTACTATTATTAACTGGACCAGAGTGAACCTTCGGTGGAAAGGTGGACAGCTAGAGTGTCCCAATGGTTCACGAGAACTTACAGTCTAGAGTAAAAACTTGTTCTTGTTATTGAAACTGACTAACATTAAACTCATTTTAGTTACTTTATTGATTCTTGAGTTGCTTACCGACTTATTTACTTCCTGGTTCTTGAGCGTGCTACAATGTGAGTACTAATTTAAATTCCTAGAGTGTGTTTTATAATTGTTATGTTGAGGTAAGGCGAGTTTTAGGTTGATCCATCTGAAATGGATCAAAGTTCCACTGTCTAATAAAAAGTAACTTAACGGATTGTTCCAACCCGGTTTTTAACGGCGTTCATGTATTTTGGGTATCTAGAGACCTGAGTATGGGGACGTTATTATTTCTAGAGTGGGGGGATATTTTAGTAGTAGCCTTTAAGCTGTAACGGGTCGTAGTCTCATGTCACAAGCGAACCGAATTGGCTCCGACTGATTTGAGGTACAAAAACACAAGAGATAGTGTCCCTGACTCTTGAGCCAATGGTTATAGGGCCTATTTTTCTTAAGCCTCATGTGTGACTGCAGTAGACGAATGTTACATAGTGTTTTTATGGCGCTCCTGGGTGTTTACGACATCAAGACTACGGAGTCGAACCCACTTGAGACAGCTTCGGGCTGAATGCCCATTCTAGAGTACCGGCGGTACGGTTCGACAGGAACGTGCAAACCTTCCGGTTGTACCGTGATAGCTTTTTAAGAAAACTCAAGAAAACTTCCTGGTATGCTCTCCGAACGAGGCTTAGCTAACCGAGTAAAGGGGGGCAACTAGGGGGACAAAAACACGAGCAAAAAGACAAAAAGCGAAACAAAAACCATAAAACGAAAAAAGACAGTGACTTTGACACCAGATTAGTTGGATCAAACCTTTATATTAATTAAATAGTATACCCATACTGTTTTACAAGTTCGATCGTTTCGATCAACATAGTAATTTAATCCAGTAACCTTAATAAAGTGCCCGAGTGTGGGGCGTTGTCAAGGGTTTTCAGATTGCTTGGAACTTAGCTGGACAACAAGGAGACTTGACTGGAAGAGGTGACCAGCCGAGTGGGAAGGTTGTTCAGGAGCACTTGATCTGAACCAATAGGAGACTCGACTGGAACAGGTGACCGGCCGAGTGGGAAACTGGTTCAGGAAAACTTGAGCTGTAGGAGACTGAACCAATAGGAGACTGAGCTGGAACAGGTGATCAGTCGAGTGGAAAAGCAGCCAAGAAGGATTTGACAGTTCTCGAGTTCTCAAGTTGGGCAGAACAGGTATCGTTACAATTCACATTACATTATAGGAAATAAGTGTAAAATTGGATAAGCGATATCCCCCGGTTTTGAGAAACGTTTTTACTTGAGCAGGCCTGGAGACAGGTCTACGGTTTTCTCTTGAGAGGTTTAGCACCCGGCGCTTAAGGTAATTTTAGGTTTAAGAAGGGGGGCTAAAAAGGGGGGAGGTTAGAAGGGGGGCTGGTTAAGTTAGAGGTTGGCGGTAGTAAATTGTAAAAAGGGGGGAAATTAGAGTAACTAATTAGTCGACATCGTTGATTTAGTTACATTAGTCATTTACACGCGTTGGTCATAGGAAGCGGATATCCAAAATTGGAATTAGGTTAAGGTAGGTACCCTGGTCGGATCGGTAGGGGGGAACGGACATAGACAGTTTTTGTGATACCCCATAAGATCGCTAGCAGGGGGGAAGGAAACGCGTGGCAATTAGGTACCAGACATTTTTTTTTCGATAGAAGGTAGACATTTGTCACCCTTGAAATTTAGGTGGGCTCATCTTTCTGTTTTTATTACTTTTTCTTGCTTAGATTTTTGTTGCATTTTGGTGAGGATTTGTGTTAAAATTTTGTACGAACAGGTGATCACAAGATACCTGCGCACAGGTTTTGGTCTCAAGTTACTTGGAACATTGAAATAGAGGTAGCCAAAAAGAGAAATAAGAAAAAGGGGGGTCAGCATTTGGCTTTTAAGAGAGGATTTTGGGAAAATTTTACTAGAGCTTGAGTGGTGGTACAAGGTACGGCGAATCAAGAAGTCCCCATAACGAAGAGGAAAGAAGTCCCACCACCCAGACACTTGTCAACAGTCTTGGGACAGTGCCGAAGAAGTCTTAGGACAGAGCAGTCTGGGGACAGTCTTGGGACAGTACAGTCTTGGGACAGTGGTCTTGGGACAGGGTCTTGGAACAGGGTCTTGGGACAAGGATCTTGGGACAGGGTCTTGGGACAAGGTCTTGGGACAAGGTCTTGGGACAAGGGTCTTGGGACAGGGTCTTGGGACAGGGTCTTGGGACAAGGTCTTGGGACAGGGTCTTGGGACAAGGTCTTGGGACAGGGTCTTGGGACAAGGTCTTGGGACAAGGGTCTTGGGACAGGGTCTTGGGACAGGGTCTTGGGACAGGGTCTTGGGACAGGGGTCTTGGTACAGGGTCTTGGGACAGGGGTCTTGGGACAGGGGTCTTGGGACACTAGTCTTGGGACACTAGTCTTGGGACACTAGTCTTGGGACACTGGTCTTGGGACACTAGTCTTGGGACACTAGTCTTGGGACAGTAGTCTTGGGACAGTAGTCTTGGGACACTAGTCTTGGGACAGTAGTCTTGGGACACTAGTCTTGGGACACTAGTCTTGGGACAGTAGTCTTGGGACACTAGCCTTGGGACAGTAGTCTTGGACAAGAGTCTTGGGACACGGCCGGAAAGTACTGGGACGGTACCGAACAGTCTTGGGACAGGAGAAAGAAGCCTGGGACGGTACAAAGAAGAGTAGGGACGGCAATTGGAAGTCTTGGGACAGTATAAAAACTGAAGTAAAATTACAAGAAGTGTTTTAAGACAGAATTAAGATAGAACAAGACTAATTGGAACCAGGTACGGTTGAGACCACAAATAAGGAAAATTTCTCGAAAAGTTAATAAAGAGAACTGAAACAAGGTTTTCACCACGTTGTATATATTTTTTTAAGAAATATTTTTTTTTCTCGAAAGATTTTATTCTTAGAATAGAATTGTATATAAAATAATATTGTAAATAAGAGCAATTGTAAATAGAAATAATGAGACGGAGTCAATGAAAGGTCAAGTGGATCAAACACGAAATATAACTCGTCGCTGCGTGGAACGACATCAATGGGCCCAGGCAAAACAAAAAATAACTTTTCAGTTAGCATGGTCAGCACGAGAAGTGGCGCCGAGAGCAAGACGCGAGAAGATGCGAGGGAAAAAGAGGTGGAGCCTACAATCGAAATCGACCTAGAGACACCAGACCAGAGCGTAGATGAACTGGAGAAAAAGACGACGGAGTCAACTCCAATGCCCAATGCAGAAGAACCAAACCCGAAACCCATAGAGTTCTCACCAATAGACGATGTGGAAGATGCAATAGGCAACACCGAAGAAACGGTGAAAGAAGACTCTCAAGTAAAAAAGACATCTTTTACAGAAAGGTTGGCGATGATGGTCGGAATAAAAACGAAAGAGAACGTGACTGAAGAACCAAAAGCTGAAAGAGCACGAACATTTGGGACAGTGAGCACGAAGACGACAGAAGCCAATCCGAGAGAGGAACAAACTAAAGCAGAAGCAACGGCCGAAGAAAGACCAACGGCTGACCATGAAGAGGCTACTCTTGAGCTAGGTGACTTGATGGCAAAACTGAATCAGATCGACAAAAAGCTGAAGCACAG